CGATCTCGATACGATCAGTGACAACAGAACAAGTTCTGCTTACAACTTAATAGTATTTATTTTGCTTTAATTTGTTGAACGAAATCAGATTAAAATCTTCTCGTGCAATCCGAAAGCCAATGATTGTGCCGGTGTCCCTGGAAAGAAAGACAATTTACGAAGGCTATTTTGGTCCTCTCTTTTCTCTTCTTTACGTAATCATACTATGACGCAATATATCAAATACGAAAGACCGTGTTTGACCACATTTCCATACACCGAGAAGAGAGCTGAAAATACGAGGCGAGCGGAGTATTTTTGACGAACTTTTAGGTGTTTGGAAATGTGGTCAAACACGGTCTTGAGTGTTTGATCTATCTTCTCAATCGAAACTAAAACTAAGGAGAAAACGTAGAAATAAAATCATAAAAATATATTCTTTGAAAATCAGATATCCAAACAACGTCACAGTCATGATTTCGTTTGTTTAAACGTGATGAATTACTAATGACTTTGAATTTGAAAATTTGAAAAGTGACATCTTGTTTACACAATCAAGTGTAAAAATCCATTTTTTAACATAACGCGTTGTGTTATTAGCGCCTTTACAAGTTCCTAATTAGCAAGACTCTTTAAGTAAGTCATGGCTGAGCACATACCGGTGTCACTTAACAATATCTCCAGGCATAAGTTACCATGGCTTGATCCATGCTACATTTATGATAGGCGACCTGCCTCGTGCCCTTGTCAGAGAGTCGACGAAATTCACGAAATTCCTTCGGCCAGGTAAACTGCTTGCTCGCTTGGGACGTTCGCTTTTTCGTCGCATTGTTTATCATTTGTGATTTCTTTCACATCACATGCATTCTTGCAGCGTTTCCATGCAGCCTTGGTCGTACTCCACTGACACAAAAGACAGGCTTTTCTTGCCAAATATCGCTCGCTCAAACTTCGGAAAATATCTTCGCGGAGAGAGGTATTGTGCAATTGACGCTGTGAACTATTCTTTGTTTATACATGGTGGTTTGTTTGCAGTGTGTCATTCCGTACGTCTCAGCTTATTTGCAAAATTTATGTCGTTTCTATTTTTGATCATTTTCTTTAAACAAAATAATCTCACAGAGTAAATTTAGCTTATTAAAG